ATTTCCCCCTGTTGCGAAAAAGTGGTACCTTCAGGGCAACTCAAGGTGTTACGACTAGGATTAAGAGCGAGGGCTGGTCGCCTATTTGGGGCTAAAGGGAGTCCCCAATTAAGAGCCCAAGGTTTGTACAGTGAGGCCGCCATACCCACGCCACGGCCATATAGTCGAGGCAACCCCGTCGCGCGTAGATGCCAGGCAGCCCCCTCTAAAATCTACAACATATCTGGTCTGCATGTTTACCGGGTTTGGTTACCCAGTAATAATTGCATTTTAGATCTGTAGGTCCCTGAGTCTCACCGCTAATTTCCTAAAACGACCAGTACCGCCGCGGACGCCCCCTAGCTATGTGGCGTGAATAGGGTCGCAAACAAGGGCTTGTACTGGGTACAAAAACGCTTATAAAGGAGTGTTTCTAAACGCTCTAAAAAATGCTAAACGACTGTAGCCGGAGCCTGCCGCCGTCCCACGCTCAAGTTTCCTCAGCCCCCCAAAGCTCTTCAGAGCCCGATGCTTAGGTGCCCATGTTTGCCCGCCAGCGGATTGGTAAGTCTCATACCCAATCGGGGGTCAGAGGCAGCACAAACGGCGAGAAAAGCCGTCCCTCGAGGACAACAGTGACGTTCGAGATGCAATCAAAAACGAGGTCGCAGACTTGCCAGCAAATAACCTTGACTAAACAGTGGAGCAACTTGAAAACATGTCCGCGTTAGCGCCTTCCCTGAACGAGGGACAGAAGAACGTTTTTGATACGGTCATGCAAGCAGTTCACTCAACGGAAGTGGTGACGGTGTGGTGGAAATCAAGCCAGCGGGTGAAAGCAGCACTGGACTGTTCTTCCTTGATGGGCCAGGCGGCACAGGTAAATCGTTCTTACTGGGACAGCTACTGACACATGTTCGTCTCGAGGGTAGATGTGCTATTGCTGTAACCTCGTGCGGGGTTGCTGCCACGGTACTTACTGGTAGCCGGACCGCGCATTCTACGTTTAAGATCCCGATCAAACATCTATGTGCAACATCAAAAGGGGTGCCCACAGGCTCAATTGATCTGCAGGGCCAGTCTTATCATCTGAGGCGAGGCCCCCATGATGAATAGATACAGTTTCGAAGCCGTGGACAGGACGTTCCGCGATATCATGGGCAACGATAAGCCGTTTGGAGGCAAGGTTATGGTCTTCAGGAGATTTTACGCATGAGCCCTAGCAGCTGACGGAGGTGCTCTTCAGATAGATGGGCGGAATTACTACAACTCACGGAAAACACGAGGGTGCGCACACCTTCCGATCCACAGGGCGCAACTGAAATCGAGGAATTCGCCAACTTTTTGTTGGAGGTTGGTGAGGGACGATTTACTGTGAACCGCGACAATGACGAGGGCGATATCAGTTTACCGCGGGATATGCGTCTCATTCCGGATTAACTGGAGCAGGAAGACATTGAAGAAGAAGACTTTCCCAACTTTGCCCTCCTCCCACCGGATCAAGAAGGAGTCGAAGGTCTAGTCGTCCACGACTACTACGAGCAAAATCTGAACACGCTCATAGACGCGGTGTACCCTGGTGTGGGTGGGGCGAATGTGACCGACGAGTATTTCGCGGAAAGAGTCATTCTCGCACCAACAAACGAGAACATTTGGCGCCTGAACGAGATGGTGGCGGATCGCCTTTCAGGAGAGACACTAGAACGTCTTTCCGTCGATATAATGGAAGGATCAGACAACATGTTGTTCAAGCCGGAACTCTTGCGCTCGCTAAATTTCATCTTCATCAGCGACGACGACAAGGACTTCGTGTTCCCAGCTTCGACGCAAGCGGTTTCCAGTATTTCCAGCGTTCGCAATGACGATCAACCGAGCTCAAGGTCAGTCGTTCAACTAAGTAGGTATTTGCTTGCAAGGACCCGTGTTCTCCCACGGCCAATTGTAAGTGGCATTGTCACGCGCGACGTCGAGAAAGGGATT